CCATCGGCCTGCAGCCCGTCCCCCCGGCTGGCTCCGCCCCTAATTGCCTTCCCCTACTCCCATGGTTGGCTAACTGCGGCTAGCGAGCCACATGCGCCTCTTTGGCCCCTTGAGTGTGGCTCTTCCACAAAATACCACATGCGGGCGTGCATATAGTGCGATTAAAACTTTGTGGCCCCTGCGCAGAAGTCGGTTTTCGGCCTGGGCAAGTCTATTTTGAAGAAGTACTGTTGATATTTGGCTCTGTTGATTAATGAGTTTGCTGACCACTGCCCTACCCCAATAGGGGGCAGGGCTGCTGGCTAACCTCCTGCAGCCCCTCGCCCTAGCCAGCTCTGCTCCCAATCACCCCCACCCCCACTCCAATCGGGCAGGGCAGGCCAGCCAACCACCCATGCCCCTCCCCAGCCGCTGGCTCCTGATTAACCCCCCAACCCCATTTGGGGGCAGGACCAGCCAGCCCACAGCCCTCCCCATGGCCATCCCCACCCCTGATCAGCCCCTACCACCCTGATGGGCCTGCAGCCCCTCCCCCCAGCCAGCTCCACCCCCAATTGGCCCCCCACGCCTATTGGGGGTGGGGCTAGCCGGCCAACCTCCCACAGCCCCTCCCCAAGCCACTGACCCCTGACTGAACCCCCATTCAGGGGTGGGGCCGGTCTACCCACCCGCAGCCCCTCCCTTTAGCCCCTCCCCCCAGCCATCCGGCCCCCAATCACCCTGTCTGCTCCTCCCAACAGGCCCAGCCCCAGCCCACTGATTAGGGCCAGGCCAGCCGGACCCCACCCGTGTGTGCACTGGGCCTCTACTGTATTTATAAAATGTATATTATATGTTGTCTCTAGTCCTCAAAACTTAAGATGTTTTTTATGTTAAACTAAGTATAGAGTTAATTTTTTCTATGAGTGAATAGTTTAACTCAGATTTTTGCAAGAAAATAAAAGGCTTTCTTTGTTGTTTCATCTTTTAATGAATTGTAATCTTCTTATTTTCCCCATTAGGCTTCAGAATACTGGAAGAGAAGTAGATTCTAGCAGAAATACCACCTGTTATATTCAAATACTCATTTATATTTGAAGTAACATAAAGAGCACAATCCTAACAACACATCTGTTTGTCAATTTAATCCAACCATTCTGTTTCTTCAGATTCTGGAACAAGGTAGGTCATGTATTCATAATTTGAAATGGCCCACTTAGGTCTTGATTTGTGCAATATATTTTTGTCGAAAACAAATACAATACAGGTATTCCAGAATATAACCTGGAATTGCCGTGCATACCTTCCAACTTCTAGACAAAAATAGATAATTAATCTGCTACTATAAGAATATTACTTTTCATCTTGGCTGTTGTGTTTAATAGCTCTTGGACTTCCTTCTCTCTCTCTCTCTCTCTCTCTCTCTCTCTCTCTCTCTCCTCTCTCTCTCTCTCTCTCTCTCAAGTCCTAATTCACTAGGAGCAAAGTTAAACTGGAGATTTATGTTTTTCATGCTATTTTCCCTTAAGTCTACTTTGAGATAAGGGGCTATAACCATAGTAATAAAAGATGCTAACTTGGGTTTCATCACTAAACTCTGTTCTCAGAGTTTTGACGATTGTCAACTGAAGTAAAAATAGTTGCTAGTTTCTTCAAATTTCTTTATAATAAACATTTTAACAGGTATTTCATAATTTTTCATGAAATCATGATCTTCAAGTTGAATTACTAAAGGGAAAATATACATATATATATATGTATTTTGTTAATCCTCACCTGAGAATACTTTTTCTATTGATTTTTAGAGAGAATGGAAGGGGGGGTAAGTGAGAGAGAAAAATCGATGTGAGAGAGATTATAATTGGCTGCCTCCCACAGACATCCTGACCAAGGTTGGGGAACACAACCCAGGTACGTGCCCTTGGTCAGGAATCAAACCCACAACCCACAACCCTTCAGTGCATAGGCCAATGCTCTACCATTCAGCCACACCAGCCAGAGCAGGAGAAATATTTTTGTTGGAATTTGGGACATTAATGAAATATTAAAACTAACCCTCATCAGGAAAACCAGAACCTGAATTGAGAGTTTCTACATATTATTGGGACCATACTTCTCCCTTCTATGCCTTTGTATAAAATCATATTTGAATGAATAGATGCCAAAAATCATTGTTTTACAAGAAGAATTAAGAGTGTTTGTTACAGTCTGGCTTGCATGGCTCAGTGGTTGAGCATCGACCTATGAACCAGGAGGTCATGGTTCAATTCCTGGTCAGGGCATATGCCCACACGTGGGCTGGATCCCCATTGTGGGGCATGTAGGAGGCAGCTGATCAATGATTCTCTGTCATCATTGATGTCTCTCTCTTTCTCAATGTTTCTATCTTTCTCTTCCTCTCCTAAATTAATCAATCAATACATATATATATTATTTTTAAATGTTTGTTACAGATTCTTTTTTTTTTAATATATTTTATTGATTTTTTACAGAGAGGAAGGGAGAGAGATAGAGAGTTAGAAACATCGATGAGAGAGAGACATTGATCAGCTGCCTCCTGCACATCTCCCACTGGGGATGTGCCCGCAACCCAGGTACATGCCCTTGACCGGAATCGAACCTGGGACCTTTCAGTCCGCAGGCCGACGCTCTATCCACTGAGCCAAACCGGTTTCGGCTGTTACAGATTCTTATTATTGAACATGACTGGCTGAGATTGACAAAAGAGGATTAAATAAATATATATACATACACACACACGTGCATATATATTTTCACTACCTTAGTTTGCATATTAGTTTAACCATTTGTAAATATGATCAGCTTCATCATTTCTCTATACTACATATAAAACTTTAATCTTCAATTCTAAAACAAGAAAATTAGGATTGCCCTGACCAGTTTGGCTCAGTGGATGGGACGTCGGCCTGTGGACTGAAGGGTCCCAGGCTCGATTCCGGTCAAGGGCATGTACCTTGGTTGTGGGCACATCCCCAGTGGGTGGTGTGCAGGAGGCAGCTGATCGATGTTTCTCTCTCATTGATGTTTCTAACTTTCTATCCCTCTCCCTTCCTCTCTGTAAAAAATCAATAAAATATATTTAAAAAAAGAAAGAAAGAAAATTAGGATTGACATTTGTAAAATGTGGGTCGCAATAGCATCATATAGGGCTATTGTAGAGTATTAAAGTTAATATAAATTCATTGGAATTGTGCATCAAACAGAAATATAAACAAGTAATTCTTACTTACCTATTAAGTTTTGGGCATTTTGTATTTTTTTATGGAATTTAGTTGTAAACAGCCAAAGTCTCCCATGTTTGTCATTCATTGAAATAGCTTGCCTGGCTTTGTTCATGAATAGCAGAAGCAGCTCTAACTACTGATATATTGATATATATATAAAAAGCTAAGTGACTTTCCTACCAGCCAGTACATATGACGCACACTGATCACCAGGGGGCAGACAGTCAACGTAGGAGTTGCCGAGCTATGGTGACTTGGCAGCCGTGGTTCTCAGGTGATGCACCCTAGAACCAGAGAGGAGGGAACCCAATTACTCGCAGGGCCACGCGATTCCACCTTCGGCTGTGGGTTATGTTGTTGATATTAAAATATTTCTTCTAATTAATTTCCTTTCAATGTGCACAAATCCATGCCCTGGGTCACTAGTCTATACTAATAATAGAGGAATATGCAAATTGTCCAGGATGCCATCACAGTAACAGTAACGACCAGCAGGCTGCCTGGGGCAACAAGGCCGGCAGGGGGGTTAGTGAGGTATGACCAAATGACTGAACAGCAGGCTGCGTGGGGTGATCAGGGGTAATCAGGCCGGCAGGCAGAGGCGGTTAGGGGTGATCAGGCAGACAGGTAGGTGAGCAGTTAGGAGCCAGCGGTCCCAGATTGTAAGATGGATGTCCGAGGGTTCCCGGATTGGAGAGTGCAGGCTGGGTTGAGGGGACCCTCCCTCCCCCATGCATTAATTTTGTGCACCGGGCCTCTAGTATTGATATAAAAGTGATGCCCTATAGGAAAACTTAACTATTTCATTAAACAAGCCAGGAGTATTTCTGATACATGTCATTTGGCAGTGGCACTAAATTTCATCCTTTGGTAATCTTTCTCAGTGTTGGATTTTTATGCCCACATATCTCCAATTTATTGGCAAATTGGCTTTGCTCATCTAAGCAAAAGTAGCTAATATTTAGCAAAGGTCCTGCATAGAAAGCTGTTCACAAGGTAGAAAAAAAGAAAAGTGTCATACTTTAACAATCTGTACAGAAGACTGCAGTGGACAGAGGTGGTAGAAAGGCTAGGAATTGGGGGGTATTAGTAGCTTATGTTGGAGAACCCTCCACCTCCAACCTCCGAAACCTGTCTGTCTTGTTTTAGGTGGTGAAAGATCTGAGATCTAACAAACACCCTCCATTTCATCACCTGTCCTTTGGCACATGATATATTTACTTGAAACAGAGTGTCCTTTTCTAGATCACAGCAGAAATGAGGACAGTTACAAATGTTAGTTTTCATGTGTTTCATGGTGCTTAGAGCTCCTGACAAGTATGTATTATGAGCTTTATGGTTGGGAAAAGCTTTGAACAAATTCATGGTTCGGGTAGAAAATACTCTTTAAGAATACATATGGTATTTAGGACGATAAGAAAATGTGAGGAGGACTACAGGGAATTCTTAAAGGAAAGGAAATATTAGTTATTTTGTTTTATAATAGCAGTTATACAAATCTTTACAATTTTTATCAAACTATTAAAATACATATGTATGTAGTTTAAATAGACTTAAGGCTTAGTCCATTCTATACCATCTCTTACCACCCTTTCCCATATTCATATGCATCCACCTTTTTGGTAATTAATACATCTTGGTCACTTTTTAGTCACTTTGTGATCACATAGAGTTAATGGTTTAAAACAACAGCCATTTTCTTTTTTTTTAAATATATTTTTATTGATTTCAGAGAGTAAGGGGAAGAGAGGGAGAGGGAGAAAGAAAGAAACAAACATCAGTGATGAGAGAGAATTATCGATCACCTGCCTCCTGCACGACCCCCAGTGGGGTCGAGCTTGCAACCCAGGCATGTTTGGGGAATTGAACGGTGTTCTTCTGGTTCACAGGTCAATGCTCAACCACTGAGCCACACTAGCTGGGCACAGTAGCCATTTTCAAAGTGTGGTTATGGACCACTCCAGGACCTGAGGACTTCGGGACTGGAGTCCTTGTAACTAATTATTAAGAAACAATCACTTACCAAGTTTTAGTGCAGTATCAAAGAATATCCACAATTATCTGAAAAAACTATTAAAATACTTACTTTTCCAACTATATCTGCTTAAGGTAATTGTAAACCAAAATTTTGAGATCTGTTGTCTTAAAAAGAAATATACTATATCATTTACTGGTAGGATGGTCTGCCCATGTAAATAATAAAAAATCTGCAAATTTTTGGTAACTAAAATAATGATGTCTTTAAGGATCATAAATATCAGCTAAATAAAAATAAGATCCAGAATCAATTTTCATATAGTCTGAAAGATAGACCCAAAATCCTGCTTTAAGCATTCTGGTTAGCAAACAGTTAAATTCAAGGATAATACAGTGTATTTGAATTCTTGTTATGTGTGTTGGATTTGATTGGAATGATAAGGGAGATACAAACAGTTGGAAGTTTGTAGAGCCAGGTTTACATATTTTTAGGTTGTTTATATACAGTTTGATCAAAACTGTACATTTCATAACTGCCGATTGGCTAGCCAGCTACAGTAGTTCTATTCACTGGTGTTTTCTGGTTTGTTTGGTTTTTTTTAAAAAATTTTTTCTTCACTCTAATCAATTTCAAAATGAAAAAGACTACAAAAGAAAGTAAGGTTCCTTGGACCTTGAATCTAGGAATCTACCTTGGGGAGGTGGTTCTGTAAGCCATGAAACTGCCAGTTATAAAGCACAGTAGACTTGCTACTTTAGCAGAAATAGCTTCAGTAAATGGGTCTTTCTGGATTTAAATGTTTCCAAGTGAATTTCAATCCAAAAACTGGTATGTACTTAGTAACAAATTCTTTTAAGATTATTGATTTTAGATACTTTCTGCCTCCCCCTCTACACTGCCGAAACCACAGATATTTATTATCTCACAGTTCTGGAGTCTAGAAATCTGAGATAAAGGTT